TGCTTACACATTTACTGACTCAGCTTTCCTCTTGCAGTCGGCATCATTGCGTTTGTTTTGTGAGATGGAAGAGGACTTTGTGGACTGGTGTCTGACATATGGGTTAATGTTGGACTTGTGGGCTTGGGCAGCACTGGGTTGGGATGTTTTCTTGATGCACACTTAACCTTTATATAAAACTCTCTTACACATGCGTTTCTGTGGATTTGTTTCTTTACAGTACCCAGACTAACACAGGGGTCTACTTCTGTTTTTCAATGAAAAAAATATTTTTTCTTTCCCCTTTGTCAAGGAAGTCTTTATGCATTTTGTTTATGGTAGTTCCATAATCTGTTGTCAATTTGTGACTTAGGAGTGAAGGAGTGGAGCTTAGCCTGTCAATCAGGTCACAGCTTGATGATCTCATTTGGAAGCGCTAAGGAGATATATAGCTCATTGGAGACAGGACACACGCTCAACTCCCTGCGAGACATTCCTACAGACAAGACACATGAAGCTACACTAGAGCCCTAAAACTAAAGGAGCCACATGGAAACCCCTGACAGCACTGAGATGGTTCCACTGCCACTGGATCCACAAGATTTCCCATCCACTGGCCTGCGATCTTCCTGCATTCGGCGTCATTGCATGTGTTTCATGAGTCTGAAGAGGAATTTATAGATTGGTATCAGACATATGGACTAATATCCAACTACTCTTGTATATAAAGCTCTCATACACGTGAGATGCGTGTCTGTGAATTTGTTTCTCTATTCAACACAGACCAACACACTGTTAAGAGTCAAGTCACACTAGCAGATAGACCTAAACTGATGATTTAAAAAACAAACCACCCTACTGTCTCAGAGTTAATGCTGACTCACAGTGACCCTGACAGGGTTTCTGAGGCTGTGCATCTTCCTGAAAGCAGCTAGCCTCATCTTTCTCCCTCAGAGTGGCCAGTTTGAACCGCTGACCTTGTGATTAAGCAGTCTGACACTTAGCCGACAGTCACCAGAACTCTTTACAGTGGTATCTTCTAAAAATTAAATTTTCTGTTTCTTAGTTTATCTTAAAGTAATTAACTTTTGTATATTGATCTTGATTCTAGTCACTTTGCTAAAATCTTAAAATGTAACAATCTATTTGTAGTTTCTCTTGGATTGTCTGGATAGAAAGAAGGTTCATTGTTCACCAAGAATGGTCACTTCTTCCTTTCCAAGCCTGATACGATTTTTCTTTTTTTCCCTCGATTACTTTGACTAGAGCCTTCCATGAAATGATGACCCAAAGTGGCCACAGTAAGAACCCTCGCTTTACTTTAAAGGAGACGTTTCTAATGTACCGGCTACTTGCTAGAGGTTTCTGATAGGAACCCCTCACCAGGTAAGTTAAGGATGCATCCTTCTATCCTGAGTTGGCTAAGAGATTATCATTGTAAAGTAAGTGTTACTTTTTTTATTTTAAGTGTTACCTTTTGATGACTACTTATCTGTAGCTGTTGATCAATCACTGGTTCCTGCCACAGTTTTGTTACGTGATTTATGCTAATAAATTTTTCTATGTTGACTACTATTTATATTCCTTGGCTGCAATGTTTAAAAGCAACTTATATTTGTTAGGTTGTATTCTGAACTTTCCCATCTGCTCATCAGTGAGTCCAGAAAGTTATAGGCCAGCAACATACTCTCCCTGGCTAGTTGAGGAGCCTCGTGCAATCAGTTGAATTTGTCCACTCCTATCTGTTTTCTAGAACAGTTTGTACAGGATAGGTGCTGCTAATTCTCGGAAGTCTGGAGCACTTGGCTACAAAACCATGTGGGCCTGCCAAGTTTTTGTTTGGTTTTGTATTTGGGTGAGTTGACTTAATTTCCTATTCATGTTTTTAAATGGCTGTTGGTCTCCGACTTGTTTCTATTGAGTCAATTTTGGTAAGCTATATTATACTCTAGTCTACTGTCCATTGCATGTTGGCTTTGACAACTTCTGGCCTAATGGGATTTGTTCACTGTTTACTCTACTGTGTATTTATAGTTCCGCTCTTTGTCATGAGCAATGTTCTGTGTCTTTGAGCTCTACTGCCCGGCCTCTACTACATCCATGTTTCCAAATCGCTGGGTCTGTTTTGAGACCACATCTACAGCACGTCTTTGTTTTCTCATTAGGCCATTTCTAGGCATGCTCTAATATCATCTTCCGCATACTTTCTTTGGGTTGACTGCTGACATTGGCTAGCTTCTTCAGTTGAACTCCTAACTTGTTTGATTGTTAATATTATTATTCTTTCTTAATTTCTAATGTAAGCCTTTCAGGAAATGAATTTCCCAAGCCACAGTCCTTCCTCTCACCACCACTACCAACCCAAATCTAATCTGCCAGCCAGTCCTGCTGGTTTTTCCCAGATTCACCCATTCTGCCTTTGTCGTCTTAAGATGATGAGGGAGGAAGGGGGATGGGGGGGAACAGGTGCACTTGAGCTGGTTCTGCCCCAGGGACATCCCCCGTGTGTGTCAGAGAAGTGCACTCTAGGGCTTCCAAGGGCTGATTCTTCCACTGTAGAGTGCCAGGCCACTCTTGGTGGAAACTGATAACTGAATTGCATCAACCCTCTAGGCATCTCTACGGTCCTGAGATCTCTATGTCCAAGGGCCCACTGGTGGTACTCTGGGACAAGTGTTGGCTGCTAACCACAAGGTTGGAGGTTCAAACCTATCAGGCGCTCCTCGGGAGAGAGAGGAGGCTGTCTGCTCCCATACAGACTGACCCTCTCAGACATCCTGACAGGGTTGCTATGAGGTGATGCAAACTCAATTCAGTAACAGAGAGTTCTTCTCGTTATACTGTTCAATACATTCAAAACAGAACTTATCTGATTTCACCCCAATCCGATTTGCCTTCCTGTGTACCTCATCTCAGTGTAGAACTCTGGGATGAATCCTAGACTTCTGCTCTTGCCTAAATCCCACCGGTTACTATTTCTTGAGCATTTCTGACTTCTTCCTCCATTCAGCTGCTCCGTTCAGGTTCTCGCCAGCTTTGGGGTGGCACTTTCCATGAGTCTCAACTGGGTTTTCTGGTTCCGAAACAATCCATTTGCCCTAAGGTCACCGGGGATTTCTCCCAAATGCAAATCTAATCCTGTTAACCACCCATCTGCCAGGGCTGTAGTGATCAAAGGATAAAGTCCAAGCCCTCAGCGTGGCAACCCACAGAGCTGAGTCTTCTCTGATTCAGTGTGCTTGCCTCAACGTCCCCTACTCTAAGGTTCCACTAGACCAGTGGTTCTCAACCTTCCTAAAGCCATGACCATTTAATACAGTTCCTCAGGCTGTGGTGAACCCCCAACCATAAAATTATGTTCGTTGCTACTTCATAACTGTCATGTTGCTACTGTTATGAATCGTAATGTAAATATCTGAGATACAGGATGTATTTTCATTGTTACAAATCGAACATAACTAAAGCATAGTGATTCATCACAAAACATTATGTAATGATATATTGTAAAATATTTGTGTGTTTTCTGATGGTCTTAGCCAACCCCTGTGAAAAGGCTCCTTCACCCCCCAAAGGGGTCACGACCCACAGGGTGAGAACCGCTGCACTAGACCAAAACCAAACTCACTGCCACCAAGTCTACTACAGCGATTCTCAGTCACAGGGCCCTTACAGGACAGAGCAGAACTGCTCCAAAGGGTTTCCCAGGCTACAAAACTCTACGGGAGTAAACTGTCTCATCTTTCTTCCACTGAGCGGCTGTTGAGTTTGAACATTTGACTTTGAAATGCCCAGAAGAGAGATGCTGTGTCAAGCTTTCATGTCCACCATCGCTACCCCAATGTCCTCTTTTCATGACTGAAGTATACCTCTTCTATGAATCTTCTCCTGAACCCCCTAACCCCTGCCCCAGTTCCTTTAGAGAAGGGGCCTCTTCCACTTTTATGGCCCACCTATACTCTCAACCCAATTGTACACCTGGGGTGGGGCGTGGGGGCAGACACCAAGCCCTAGTTACGACTGCAGAGTCACTATCTTGGCATGAAACAGGTGACTGAAAAATGAAAATGCATTAAAAAACTGAATCAGAGCTTTACACATCAACTAAAAATCATCTGGAAATGAGGCGACTTAGGTTATAATGAATAGGATCAGGAAATAAAAACATCAACGGTACTTTAGAATTCCGCTCCATTTTTAAGAAATGTGAACAAATCTGAATCATACATAAATATAAGTAGGACCTACTTACCACCTGGAAAAATAGGAGAAAATGAATCAAATGTCACTTCTTGAGAAAACAAGTCAGTAAAGCCATGTTCATACCAGAATTCAACATCAACACATGGCACAAATACCAACAGGCCAGCTAGCACTCACTATCAACCTAGGCCAGGGAGGTAGGGCTGCATCTAGAGAACAGCACTGAGAAAGGAAAGCCATTTCCATTTCTAAGTATTTCACAAACTTAAAACCACTTTCTACCATTCACAAGTGCTCTCAAATACAAATTAACAAAGACTAAATGAATGTATTTCTTCTGCAAAAAATTACAAGAAAACTGCCATCTGTACCATGGGAGGTCGTATTTTCAATTACAGGGTAAGTTAAGCTCTGGGGAAAAGAGAAGGGAATGAATAGAGAGAGAGCACAGTATCACCACCCCCTCAGCCTCAACTCCTCCCCAACCTGGCAGTTAGTGGCTCATCTCATACCCCACTGCATCAAAGGAAATCTAAATTCTCTGGACCAATAGATAACTTCATGATAAATGGAGAACAGATGGCATGCGTCTAAGACTCCACCTTGCTTGGATCCCAGGCGATGCTCATGGAGTAGCAATCAAGAAATCAATGACTTCTGCCCTGGGCAGATCTGCAGCAGGAGACCTCCTTGAAGAGCTGCAAAGGAAAGGCATCCTGTTGAGGACTAAGGACCCAAGCCACTGTCTTTTCAATCACCTCCTATGCATATGAAAGTTGGACATTAAATAAATAAAACTGCAGGAGAAATAATGCATTTGAATGCCAGTGCTGGTTAAGAATATTCAACATGGTACAGACGGCCAGAAGAACAAACAGCTCTGTCTTGAAAGAAGTACAACCAGAAAGCTCCTTAGAGGCAAAGACGAGGAGACATGGTCTAATGCACTTTGGACATGCTAGTAGCAGAGACCAGTCTCTGGAAAAGGACATCACGCTTGGTACAGTAGAGAGGCAACCGAAAAAGAGTGGCTGTAACAATGGGCTCAGACATACGAACAACTGTGAATGGCACAGGATCTTCGGTGTTTGGTTCTGGTGTACACTGGGTTGTGAGTCGGAACCAACCTGTCAGCATCTAACAACAACAACTGTGTCGAAGGGAGTCTACTTTCATCTCTTCGAATGAACTTCTAAGAACTTTTCACCCTATGGAAATATTCATTGATGACAACAAAAATTTAACTACTAAGACCTCCAGATGGTTTAAAAGGTAAAAAAAACCTGCAAAACTCCATACCCAATGACAGCAGGGGACTGGTTAAATACACTATACTCTCTCTGCTAGAAACATAGTCTCCAAGAGAATATCAACTCACATGTAAACAGTGTGGTTCTCCCCAGCTAGTAAGATGCAGGGGTACTGGAGTTGGGGGGGGGGGGTCACAGCACTCCTGTTTCTGCACACCTTATTGTCAGCATTACAGTTATGAGGTGCCAGGTAGTTGGTTCTGAGTCAGGGGACACTACAGATTAACAGAACAGGGTGTCACTCTCACAGTTGTTGCGACATTTGAGCCCACTGCTATAGCCACTTCTTCACAGCACAATGTATGTGCTACAGACAGTGTTAAATATATCTGTAGGGGACCAGTGGTGTGAGTGGTGATACTGGGAGGGTAGAGGGAGAGTGGGTAGGAAAGAGGGAACCGATTACAAGGAACTACATGTGACCTCCTCCCTGGGGGACGGACAACCGAAAAGTGGGTGAAGGGAGACGTCGGACAGGGCAAGATATGACAAAATAATAATTTATAAATTATCAAGAGCTCATTAGGGAGGGGGGAGTGGGGAGGGAGGGGGAAAATGAGGACCTAATGCCGGGGGCTTAAGTGGAGAGGAAATGTTTTGAGAATGATGAGGGCAATGAATGTACAAATGCACTTTACACAATTGATGTATGTATGGATTGTGATCAGAGTTGTATGAGCACCTAATAAAATGATTTAAAAAAAAAAAAGAGCAGATTCAAAAATATATATCTGTAGGTTGCCCACCAAGTACAAAGTTCAAAAGGCAGGCAGGGTCAGGGAAGCATGCTGTCTCACTCAAAATTACAACCTAAGCCATGAAACAAAATGTGTACAAAACTGTTGAGTGGGAAACGAATTTGCTCTGTAAACACTCATTTGAACCGCCATAACATGCCCAGGAGGAACAGAGAAGGATGGGCAATACAGATTTGGGAGGGGCACGGGCTGCTTTTCATTTTGGAGCCACTAGCCAGGTGAAATCTATGTAGAGAACAGGCTCTCCTGCCTCAACCATGCCACTCATGACCCCTAAGAGAAGATGCAGTGAAGCCTGTCAGCCGATGTGTGTTCGGGGAAAGAGGATTTCCCTCACTGCCTGCGCATGCCAGCCTCCTGCTGTTCACAGCTTCATGCCATCCCCTCCCACGGTGCATTAGGTTTCGTCCATATGACCAGTAGAATATGGGCGTGAGGGTGCGCCATTTCTGGGGTTAGGTCACCAAAAAAAGTTGTGGCTTCCATCTCTCTCTTTTGGACCACTGGCTCTGGGGAATGCCAGCCACAATGCTGGGGTAGCCCAGTGGCCAGGTCCACATGGTGAGTAACTTGAGGCCCTGCCAACAGTCAAGGCAGTGAGCTGGGACTCCCCACTAGGGCCTTTGGATGGCTGCAGCCCCAGGCAACATCTTGACAGTAGCTCACAGAGACCTTGGCCAGAGCCAGAACCACAACTAAATGGCTCCCTCACTCCTGACCCACCAGAAACAGTGACATGGGTAAGTGTCTGAAGTTACAAGTTCAAAAAACATACTTGTTTGTAGTTTTTTATGTAACTTTTCCAACCGCCAAAGTCAAAAATTAGATTTACAATGGTACTATAAATACTTTTAAAATATATTTTAATAAACGGTAATAATGAAAACTTTTTTGATATTCAAATTTACATCAGAACCAACTTACAAAGGAGTTATCCTATTTTTATTCTTTAAATTTCTATCATGAATATGTAATAATTTTGGCCACTTAAAACAACAGCAACAAAAAAACCACCACCTCACAGGAGGAAAGTAAAAGCAAAGAGTCAAGACCAAGGAAGCAAAGCTATGGATAGAAGTATAAACATCAGTGTGTACGTATGTAAATACATCAATTAAAAAAAATAAAGGTATTGGTGTATGTACATATATTTATATGGCAATATATTGAGGTAGTGGACGGACTTTAGGCATCTGCTCAAGCCCTGCCTCAAGGCAAAAAACACTTTGTTCTAACAACCTGGCATTCTCTAATGCTCACACTCCTGGCACGATCGCCGAAGACAAAAATGGGTGCACAAGCAAATGCGGTGGAGCTGATGGTCTCCGGCTATCAAAAGATACAGGATCTGTGGTCTTAAAGGCTTGAAGTTAAACAAGCGGCCATCTAGCAGAGAAGCAACAAGCCCACACAGAAGAAGCACACCAGCCTTTGCAATCATGAGGGGTGGACAGGATCAGGTAACAGGCATCAGAAGACCCAAAACAAAAAAAAACATTATTGAGAATGAGGGGGGTTGGAGCAGAGACCCAAAACCCATCTGTAGACAATAGGACATCCCCTCACAGAAGGGTCATGAGGCAACCAGGGTGCAGTATAGCACCCATGAAACACCATACTGTGTATTCCTCTGGTTTCTTGAGGTTCCTCACCCCCCACTTTCATGACCCCAGTCCTGCCTTTCACTGCGGTCTAGACCGGAGCATGTACACAGGTATAGCTAAGAGCTCGCGACACACGGAATCCAGGTCAGATAAACCCTTCAGGAACAGTAATGGGCATTGCAATACCAAGAGGGTAGGGAGAAGGTGAGGACAGGTGGGGAAAAAGGGGGAACCGAACGCAATGATCGACACATAACCCCCGCCCCCCCCACACACACACACACAGGGGGAGGAACAACAGAAACCATGGGGGAAGGGAGACAGTGGTTGGTATAAGATATGAAAATAATGATTTATAATTTATCAAGGGGTCACAAGGTGGGGGTGAGAGAAAAAGAAGAGTTGATATCAAGGGCTCAAATAGAAAGTAAATGTTTAGAAAGTAACGATGGCAATATATGTACAAATATGCTTGATACAATTGATGTATGGTTATAAGAGCTGTAAGAGCCACCAATAAAATAATCTTAACAAAACAAAACACCACTACCATGGTGTTGATTCTAACTCTTAACGACCCTACATAGGGTTTGAGAGACTGTAAATCTTTACTAGAGCAGGCAGCCTCATCTTTCCCCTGTGGGGAAGATGGTAGCTTTGAACAGCCAACCTGTGTGTGTTACAGTATGGTGGCTTTCAGGATGCTGTGATGTGGGAAGCTTTGCCACTGGTCTATCTAATGCCAGCAGGCTCACCCATGGTAAACAGATTTCAGCAGAGCTTCTAGATCAGCAGTTCTCAAACTGTGGGTTGTGACCTCTTTGGGGGTCGAATGACCCTTTCACAGGGGTCGCCTAATTCATAACAGTAGCAACATTACAGTTATGAAGTAGCAACATTAAGTTATGATGTAGCAACTGTATTAAAGGGTCGCAGCATTAGGAAGGTTGAGAACCACTGATCTAGACTAAGAATAAGAAGACCTAGCAATCTACCTCTGAAAATTAGCCACTGAAAACCCTGTCAATCCCAGCAGACTATCGTCCATGACAGTGCTAGGAGGTGAGCCTGGCACACAACAGCGATCATGAAGGTAGCGCAGGAGCAGGCACCATTACCATTTAGTTCGACTGTGCATGGGGGTTACAGCGAGTGGAGTGGGCTCAGAGCAAAGACCAAACTCAACAGAGACCAACAACACAGCGTCCTGGTGCAACAGGCCAGCCTCCAGCTGCAGTGAGTTGTGCATGGACAATCTGAAGGAAAGCCTGGCAAACAGGGAGACCAGCCCCTTCCAGACACATGAACTGGGGGCTCCTGGGTGGAGTGGTGCTCCGTCCACTGAGGCAGAGGATGAGACCAAAAGAAAAGGTGGGGGCTGTTCCAGAAGGGCTGCCCAGGATGGCCTTGCAAGGCAGCCGAGGAGAGTATGAAGAAAGGTCTGAGGAAATACCAAATGTTGCTGAGAGCAGGGCAAATACGAGGAGCCAGAAAAGGAGCTCACGCCTCTCAGTTGTTTAGAGAAAACCGAACTCTGTACAGTGCTGCCCTCTGACACCGGGTCTTAGTGGGAAGGGGAGAGAGCAAATATGAAGGAGCTGAGGGCAGGGGACAAGCAGGAGCTGCACCCCACTGGCTCCAGGGAAGGCCCAGGGGGCAGGGGGATCAAGAGCAGCAAGGAAGCACACACACAAGCAGAGGAAGGAGAGCCCACACGCACTGCCAACTCGCAGCAACCCTATCGGACAGGACAGAACTTTAACTCTCAGAAGGGAGAGCGCTGGGAAAAGGCAGGCTTCGCTCCCAGGCGGATCTCACACACGCGCTCAGAGAACTGCCTGTCCGTTGGGAGCTCTCAGGCTATAGTTGGTACAGAAACTGACCACCACATCTTTCTCCCACAGAGCTGCTGGTGCGTTCGAACCACCTACATTAATTCAGGTTACCTGTTGGGTGGTTAACTGCTATGCCACGAGGGCTCCTTCTCAAGAGACCAGAAGTAAAAATT